ACTGAAGAGGCAGCTCTCTTCTGCTGATGAACCTCAACACTACAAAAACATTCAGGGAATCAAGTCGACATCAGGAACTGAACAAAGAATCTCTTTTTAATTGTTGTTCTGTTCGAAGCCATCAAATTAACCAATAGGAGTACATGCAGAGATGTTTGAATCATTAATAAACAATAAATAAATAAATAAACAAACATACCTTTCAGATTGATTGGATGTGTGGGGTTCAGTAGGGGAGCAGCTGCCGCTGTGTTTGTCCTCATGGCTGGATGTGACATTATCTTTGGTTTCACTTGACTCACTCATGGCAGCGTTTTTCCAGACACCTTAAAAGATCCTAAAGTCGACATTTATACACCCAAAGTGCTTTCTGTCAGTTAAACATAATTTCCATACTTCCTGTTTTATTTGCCTAAGCCAGTATGTATATGACATGGGAGCCACCATTGTTCGAATTGAGGGGCCCCATCATACCTCTCATTTTCGGATGTGGATGAGGGTTTGAAAAAATTGAAATCAAACTAATTAAAAATGGTTTATGTGTAGCATATCAAGTAATAATGAATAAGAGGAGAAACAAGATGAACAACAACAATGACAAACTTAATTTGGAAGGACTTCACATGCTCAATTTTCATGCAGGAAACCCGATAGAAAATAGAAGTTTTTGTTTGTTTGTTTGTTTTTCCTCCCCTTAAATTTGAACGCTGGGTGCCACTGTAGCTGCGTTTAACAAGACAGCTTTGTAGAAGAAAATAGACCTGAATTTAACATGATCAGCCGGTCATGTTATCCTCTCTGAGGTCTTCGTACTTACCCTTACGAAAAATAAGTTTATTCAAGTGTGCTATTAGTATACTTCTTTTAAACTAAAAATAGGAAAGTATACTTTTAGTCTACTTTTTATGTACTTCTCAGAAATGGGCTTTATGTACTTCTCAGAAATATACTTAAAATGACATTTAAGTATACTTGACATACTTGGAAAAAGTCTAAATATATTGGAGCTATACTTGTCCTCCTAGAATCCGTGTTTTCATTGTTATACTGTAGAGGGCGCTAAAACTATCAGTATACCTATAAGTTCACTTTTAGTATAGTTGCAGTACAAACTAAACATTTTGATGTAAACTAGTTGTGTACTCAAAGTTTACTACTGTTATACTTAAAGAATACTTAAAAGTATACTTTTATATACTAGAAAGTGGGCCAATTTAGTCCCAAGGAGTATTGAAATAGTACACTTACAAGTATACTACTAGTACACTGATATTTGTATACTTGCTACATAAAGTATACTTAAAAATATACTTGAACTTTACTTAAGTATACTTACTAAAATAAACTTGAAGTATACTACTTTTTGGTAAGGGTATTTACCTGAGGTGGCCATTCAGCAACTTCTGAAACATCTAATGTTACATTTTTACAGAGCATGACCCATCTGAATGACTTTTACTTGATCTTTAACACAAACACAGTAGCCTACATACGCAGAGTTCGCACAATTAACTTTCTGATTAATGAATTTCCCAAACTTGAATGACTCCAGTCATTCTTACTGTTAAGGCGGAAAAAACACTAAATATTGAAGAAACAAACTACGTGCAGAAGTGTATTCACCTTGTCTGAGTCTGTGTGTCGTCGGAGCCACAGTTTCGGTTTCCGTTCTCCTTCAGGATGAGCAACCTGGTTTACAGGCGGGGCCAGGTTAAGTATTTATTACTTATGCATTCATGTTTGCGTAAACTTGCAGGTACATTTCTGCTTAATTGTAGTGTCTTACCAGGAGACGCAATATTAATTGATAATACTTTTTCTATGGGTTTGAAATAAAGTTTTAGAATAAATTGTAATCAAACTTGTTGCGTTTCCTTTTAGAAAATCGATAACAGAAGCTTTGAAAACATATAATTTATCATTGAATTTCTTTTGGGTAATTATAATTTTTTTTCTGAATCTATAAATGGAAATAATTACAATAATAACAATACATTAAAATAACAACAAAACCCTCCTTGTATGACACTATAGGGCTTCTACCTCCAGGGGGCGCCTGAAGGCTCATAGATTCGAATCCTCAATTGAGCTGCGAATGGAAATATTTCTAAAACGACTTAAAACGTGTTCCAAAAGAATACAGATGAGACGCGGCTTGTGTCTGAACAGAATGGGTCTTTATTCAGGAAACGAAAGAAAAAAGATTGTAATCAACACCCCATTTAAATACAAAACAAATCAAAATAAGGAACAACATGATATTCAGTTTGCATATCAAAGAGCCATTCGGTAATAATTACAGTCGGAACACTTCATAAACCACTTGTGTGAATCTATACACAAACTTGATTTAGAAACTAGAACATTAACAATATTACAAAGATTTTAGCTTTAAAAATAATTCAAATTGAAATAATATTTTAGCAGTTAGCATCATACAATTATATATTCATATCTTTCCACATAAAAATACAAAATAATATTAATGACATAATATGAAAAATTATCCCAAATATTTTGCTACTATTAGAGTAAAATAAAAAAACAAAACACGAAACAAAAAACAACAAATAGAAATATGCATGAAAAAGTTTCTCCTTTTGTTAGCAAAACACTATCCAAAATAACTACAATCATTTACATCGGTACAAAGATATCTGGATTTAAAAATAGTTGCAATGAAAAAAAGGGGTTTCATCTTTTCTGACAGTAAAAAATGACACTGTGAATCAGAAATTTGCAAAATATGCAATGAAAAAAATAAATCTGCATTAAAAAGGTATACACTGCAATTCTCACTTTTTTTTTATACAAACATTAGAAACAGTATTGCACGTCACAACACAGATTCGAGGTTAGTAAGCCTTTCAAAATGTGTTATATTCAAGTTTCTGAGTATCAGTGAGGGGAGGGCTCATACCCCTCCGTCTAACCAGGGAGAGTCTCAAGTGTTTTCCATGAACATAGTAGAACCCTCAATGCTTTCTTCCTTCAAATTAAATACACGTCCAATTAAATAGTAATCAAATTGATGTGTGCTAAGCAATAATACATAAATAGATTCATACACACACAACTGCACGGATGATTAAAAAAAACGGCCTTTTGCGTCTTCCAGTGCGACGCTGCGTGTGAAAGTAACCATAAATACACGGGCAAATCAAGTGAGAGTCAGAGGTCTACAGAAATAGAAAAATACAATTTAAATCAAATAGTTATCTGTCTACAAAAATAGTCAAATAAATATGATTTTTCAAAACGACGACGACAACAAAAACCCACACATACACATACAAAGCAACAGTGTTGAACACGAAAAATGGAGCGCGCTACTCGTCACCAACAGAGAGAAAGACGACGACGACAATGCGGCGGACATCTTGATTAGCTCCCAGAAACACCTTCGCTACTTACTCCAAGGACACGGTAGATCGCCGTAATCACTTAAATAGAATCTGGGTCCAGCGTCTTACACAATATATCAAATAAGTTACTATGTAAAAAATAAAGATATTTAAATTATCCAATAGACTTAAAATAGGTCGCAATTCTTCTACAACCAAATAGTATACAAAAAAAGGTGATACAAAATAAAAGAGACTGTTTTGCGTTCGACTCCAAACGTCAGGAAAAAGAGGGATTGGTTCTCTTAGAGGAGAAAAGAGAGGAGAGAAATCGAAAAGGTAGTGCATCACGTGTCCTCAAGAGTCTGGAAACACGTCGACAAATAAATAGACACATATACGCAATAAATAAACACACAATCTCAGCTCACTGTTGAAAGGTTAAATCACATACACGAACTCGACAGTACGACAAGGGCACTGAATTCTTCACCAAACTCGAGAACACAAGGATATATAGAGTGCAAAAAGAACGACAGACAGAAAGAGCAGTACAGTATCAAACGACCATTGCTTCTGTAGAGATTGTCCTTAAGACCGATCCGATCGAAAATGCTAACGCTACAAAACATTTCGCCACAGGGTTCCTTTTGTGACGTCTCTCGTCTCTTTTCTCCACGGCTGTTCTTACCGATAGATTTTGTCCAGAGAATAAACTACGAAACGCGGCGCTAGGCTCCGCCCACCACGCACAGACAACGACCACGGGTACGATTCCTTCACGAATTCCTACGAACTACATCATATCAAAGCTACCACGGAAAACGTCCTTGTCCTTATCTCAGTAAGAGGGGTGGCATTCAGGGGTGTTCAGGAAGGGCAAAGGTTAAATGTCCAGAGACGATCCTCTGGATCATAGAGTTTAAATCGAACTGAAACCTCAATTCATAACTAGACTCACACGGCACGAAGACGAGACACGAAAACCACAGGACAGCACACCGCACACTAATTATCGAGGTACAAAATGGCAAAACTCACTACTCTAAAAACTAACGTCACTTCTCTCGTAATAAGTTCGTAAAGGAATCATCACAACAACGCATGCAAAGGTTTTACCAAGAATTTACATTTTTTTTTCCTTTCGATATTATATTATCTTATATCTAAGAGTCTGGCCTTTTTTTGCCTCATGCTACATAAATTCCTCTGTTTATCGTTAATATGCATCATGTTTTGTTTGTGTTTTTTTCTTTCTTATATGTGCTGGCAACCTTTACACTGCATGCAAATGATGTACAGCCACAAACATGCATGTAAGTTTTCACATTCTGTGTTTCCATGGCGACGATCGGCCATGCCGTGCGAGAGGGAACGGACTGCGTTTCTGTGTATGACATCGCCAGTGACGTCACAATGGCATAGAACACCGACACTATCTAATCGTTATATCCTATTTAGCAGCAAAGCTTCTTCTATAGCTTGTGATTAAATTGCAAGAGTAGAGCAATAACAAGCCAGATTAATATTCTGAGGTATTGTCTTTTTTTTTGCCAGTGGAAAATGGAAAGTCTCAGTAATTAATTATTGAATCATTCCTATTCCTGCTAAGAGCACATTGGAGCGAAACATCAAGGGGGGGAAATATTCTTCTTCTTTTTTTTTTTTTTGTATATTCCGCGGCGAACGTCTCGTTTTCAGGCTGCACATTTTGCTACCTTTGGTTCGAGATCCAGGGCAGGCATCAGAGATTACGTCATCAAGGGTTTTCCAGAGACAATTGCGCACTTTGCCCACTAGGGGGGAGATTTAGCAGCAGACGGACACACGACGGACAGAACGAATGAACAGAACGGACAGGCTGCCCCCCAAAGCGAAAACATTCTCTTTTCTACTTTTTAAATCTCACATATAAAAATAATTTGAAAAAACTACAAAAAATCAATCTCTTTTTTTTTCTTAATCTCCTTTTTAAAAAACATGAACGTACCACAAAAACTCTGTTCCGAGCCTGAGATGCACAGGGAGGGAGGAGAACGAAGTGGTTTGGTGAAATAAACTGAGGCTTGTAGTGTTTCTGGCTGCTACAAAAGATAAAGATATATTTATATATTTATAGTCATATATATTCTCTATATACTGTATATGGTTATGTACTCTATACTGACAGCTTGGGTTCAGGGGCCAAACTAAGCATTGTTTTCTTCCCGCAGCAGACGTGTTGTTTCTGCGTCGTCTTGCATGCTGCCGCTCCCGGCGCTCCCGGGATCCCCGTCTTCAGTTCCAGCGGAAGTGGATCTGGCGGGGGCGGTCGGCTCCCTCTTTGACCAGCGGCTTGTGGAACTCGCGGCCGGCGCGGGAGTGGATGTTTGCCCAGCAGAACTCACAGTAATACTGCAGGCAGGTGACATTGGCGCAAAAGAATGGGGCGAACTTTCCGCCACAACGTGCCCCCTGGCATTCGTCGCACAGCTGGTCGTCCAGCACGTACGGCTTCACCTCCACCTGTGTCACATGAATAAGAGAAAAACGGTTGTTTTTGGTTCATTTCTACTCTGGTAAAGTACTCTGGTATAGTTAATTAAACGGTACCATAACCCGTGTTGGGTGAAATACATCACTAAGTAATTAATTATTAGGCTATTAATTTAATTACTTTTCCTAAAGGGATTACTCTTAATTTTTCTTCAATTTAATTACAGTTACTTCTGATGTAATCCGCCATTATTTTATATAGAGTTGTTCTATAGTTTGCACAATATTTGATTGTATAGACAATAGAACAACTCTATATAAAACAATAGTGGATTTAACATCAAAATTTAATATCTAATATTAAAATGTATGTTTTGAATGTAATCTTCTCCATTTAAATAATTTGGTCAGTTCAAGAATAATTTATGCAATTTGATATTATTTATTTGAAAAAAAAAAAGATCAGTTGTTTAACTGGTCGAGGTTGATATGGGATTTAGAAAGTAGTTTGTAATAAGTAATGCAATACTTCATAGAGAGAATGATTTGTATAGTAATCTAATTACACTGTTGAAGATGATTTTTTTTAGCATAACTTCCCAACACTGACCATGATACAGTAATTGTGTGCATATGATATGGACTACAAAGTGATGGGTAAAATAATGATACAATTATAGCGTTGGATTAATGAGATTTGGTATAATTATTACATCTAGTTAATGTTGCATACAACGATGCAACGCAAGAAGTGCACTTAATTGTATTGAATGTGCATTTGTAGTGTTCTTCAAATATTGTATAAAACTATACTTGCCGATAATGTAATATTAAAACGTTAAGTGCTCTTTGAGCGCTATGTTTCTTAACACAATGTCACAGATGAAATGAAAATAATATCAGTTGCATTGTGGCATATGTTCTTTGTTATACTGCACATTTTATCAAATCTAGCAAGTCTATGTACACAGGAAATAATAAATCAAAATAGCATACTATGCACAGTCAGGGCCGTTCTTAGCTGACGCAGGGCCCTGGTGCAACCGCACCAGTTGCACCCCCCTAAGGATGGCACTGTGCACAGTATGCATACTATACACTAAGAGTAGTATGGTAGTGTGCTATTCTGGATGTTACTAGTCTCAAACAAACACGTAAGTGCCGTCTACTTACCCGTTTGTCGATGTCGCCATGCTGCAGCTGGACGAATCGGGCACTGATGGCAGCAATGTAGCTCTGCTGATTGGAGAAGGCCACACGCCCCGCCCCCTTTGGGTACTTCAGCTCTGGATCAGTGTCAATACCCGCGTAACACACTCCACCATACAAGCGGTCCATGATCATGGCCAGCTCCACTGCAGCGAAAGATACCATTAAAGTCTATTTAATACCCCCCCCAAAAAAAACGTTTTAATACTTTTTGAAACAGTTAGGAAACGAACCACAGTGAAATTAATTTTAGAATCTTTGTTGAGATAACTGGCATCTCTTCACATTGTGGACATCATATGCTGTAGTTTAAAACAAATACAACAACGAGCCACGTGTTTGCCATACCAGCTCTGAGTGGACGTGGCACTCCTCCAACAAAGATGGTCTTACGAGGGTCCAGCGGCTGAGATCCATCCATCACAAAATCACTGTCACTCAGGTTCCAAGGACGAATCTGGACCTGAAAAACCACATACAAATCCCGCATATGAAACACAGTGTACATGAAAACAGAAAAAAGACACCATTGTGAAAAAGAAGTGCACTTAATTGTATGTTGAACTGTACACTGAATAAGCATTTGTAGTGTACTAAAAGATTTCCATGACTGTTTCTCAACTCACTTTGTAATAATGTCAAATAACAAATGTTGCTTATAAGTACAATTAAATGATTATATTTTATGCATAGCAACAAGTACTTGCTACTTGCCATAATACATCCACAGACATGCTGCAGTGAGCATGCAAGAAATACTGCTGCTGCACATATAACATACATGAAATCAACCCGTAACAGATCTATACAGGTGGAGCTGGGGGAGGTGGAGGGTTTCTGAACTGCTGCAGCAAGCACTAGCCAAGTATTTAAATGAAGAGCAGCAAGCTCATTGGACTTGTAACCCAAAGGCCGTGGGTTCGAGACTCAGTACCGGCAGGAAATGGAAGTGGGGAAGTGAACGAACAGCAGTCTCTTCCACCCTCCACCATAAAGTGTGCTTCTTTTTCACAATTAGAGAATATTCACAATTACAGCATATTTAAAATTAAATCCATGTATTTTTTCCAAAGCAACAACACACTTCTTTAAAAACAGATGGCATGTGTCAGACACTAGTTAAGAACAGATGCAGGCAAGATTGAATGATGTTTATTCTGTTTTGGAGAACTGAAGGTCTATTCACTCATAGTGATGTTTTGTTGTGTCCCTTTTGGTTTAAATATCTGAAGACTTCAGACTCAAATGAAAGAATAAACACACTTTCCTCTCATCACTGAGATAGTATCATGGACTCTGGCAGCATGTGAATGTATCTGGACTCACAGGCTTGTCTTTGATGGTGGGGCTGGACACACACAGGTAGAGTTTCCCATCCTCCTCCAGACAGGCTTCGATCAGCGCCTGAACTGAGCTCTCTTCTTGGAACAGGAGGAAGGCGTAACCTAGACAACAGTCAATCACTGTAACCACGGCAACCAGAGCTCAGTGTAACATCTGATTTCTGACTGAATTAATAAAAACTAAGGATCACAGCAACCAGAGGCATTGGGTGAATCTCGCTAGTTACAGAGCACACATTATTCATTATTACATATCTAAACATTCAATTTATAATACTCAAATTAATACATTTAAAATGTACTTAATAAAAACAATAAAAAGAGATTCAGTAGACATTTTCCATGCAGATTTTGCATCGGGTTGAAGGTGGTCATGCAGATTTTCTGCACTGACCAATAGAAAGCTGTTTGGATTGAAAGTGACTTCAATCACTACATTATAGTCACATTTCTCTGAACGCACATTCACTGCATGTATATAATATGAAATAAGCTACTATTTTTGTGTATCTGAAATTTGTAAATATAATTAATTGGTCATTTGTATTATAACATATCCATAACCAAATGTTTGGACGCATCTGATTAAATCTATCTTTTTCATGATCATGATGTCATTGTTATGAAGACTTGTTATTCTACAATGTGAAAAACAGTAATAAAGAATGGGAAGGTGTGTGCAAACTTTTGACTGGTAGTGTGTTTACAGTATGTCCATGCAGATTTCTATTGCTCTGTTTGCTATGAATGTGGTGATTTTTCTAGAAGTACCTTTAGGTGGGAAGTATGACTTGCTCTCTGCTTTGTGTGGCCAATCAACAAACAGATGACCAAAGCGCCGAAAACTGCTTGTGATTTCATCTGTGGGAAAGACAAGATCGTGAGAGTCAGATAGAGAGAAGCAGGAACTGTTGCAGATCCTTTTTCATAAGGAAATATAATGATTTTAATCTGTACGAGTAGAACAAAATCAAACATCAGAGGTTAAAAGCAAACCCTGTTCAATATCTGCAAGGTGAAGTTCACTGATATAAATCAAATTCTCCTCTGAATGACAGTAAATCAGCATTTCTCAGCCATGTTGTTTGCAGATCTGCACTCTGTGGAGGTTTGAGGTTTTATGTGTCTCAGTGCTGTTATCAGTAACCTGCCACCAGGAGATGCCAGAAACATCTCAGTGGCTTCAGGGCAAGACTGAAACAGATGTGCAAAACATAAATGTGGACATCTGTAAGAATGTGGATCAGGGCTTGATAATAAGGATCCCTAGATGGCTCAGGGATGGTACGGGCCAGCTGATAAAACCACTAAGAGTGTGAGCAGAGGTGTAAAGGCAGGACGCGTTCCTGCTTTATAACACATCCAGACCCGGGCTATGCAATCCAATGTGTTTCGTTAGCATTGGAGCTAAACTCTGCAGGACAACTGGTGCTCCAGGAGCAAGTTTAGACACCCCTGATATAGACAGACTGCAATGTAATATAATACAATATGGTTCAAACACTCTCTCAAACTAACCTTCATCGATGTCAGGGGGCAGACCACCCACAAACACTTTGCGGGAGAACCTCTCGATGCGCTCCCCGTTCTGATGGGGGTAACAGTGAGGAGACCCCAGGACCCCCTGGTTGCCATGGCCGTCGTCTAGAAGACCGTCATCGATGGGGAAGAGTGAGGAACGTCCTGTTAAAAAGTGAACGACAGGTGAGGACCCTTGTTTACACCTGGTGTTAACATCCATCTTGGGTGATCTGATCGTGATCAGCATTATGCATCTGAAATGCAACTCTGATGACCACTATAGAAACAAGGGCCCTTGTTTTGGTGCAATGAATATATATGACGTTAACAGGTGGTTATTCATGTCTAGGGTGCAATAGGACATTTAAACAGCACATTTGTTTCTAACTATCTCTGAATGTGGTTTGAGTGATTCGATCACTCTAAACCCTGTCCACAGTTGTATTTAGCGCTGTCCATTTGTGATCAGACCACCTGAGATAGATAATGCCAATGTAATGTAATGTCAATGCATGTATGAATCATGGGTTGAGTCAGTGAACTGCGGCTCTCAGTCAGCATAAGCCTCAAAACACATGTAAAACTCCATTATATTGATAAACTCATCAAATTGTTGCTAGTGGACAGTAATGAGTTCACAAAGAGCACAGAATATTGCCATGCCAACACAGATAGCGTAACAAACAGTGGATTTTACCTCGTCGTCTCCCATAGCTCCTGGCTGCATGTGAACAAAAACAATACAGAGTACTATGAAACATCTGACTGAACGCTTAACTCAATGACTGTGTAAATACAGGCAAATGTTTATGGATTAAATATTCACTACAGCTGGTCATCATGGTCTGGATGCTGGTGTTCCCTAAGGCCACAAACATACTTTTGAAACTAGCATGCAGATGTAGGTACACCAGTTAGACATAGGGATAGGCGATACGACTAAAATCTTGTATATGCTGATATATATATAATGAAATAACTATTTCTTGCCGAAAATAAGGTTGTAATGATACCGAAATTGTAGATACCAGTATAATTTCACAATTCGGCTAACTAATGTCATAAAGTCCTCAAGCAATTATTGAAATAAAAATGAAGCAAATTACAAACAATGGAACAAATCAACACGAGAAGAAAGATACAAATGAAATACAGGCCCACACTGCTAAAAGCACCAAAAGTTGGTTAAATGACCATGGTGTTGGTGTGCTTGACTGGCCAACAAACTCACCAGACCTCTCACCAGAGAATCTATGGGGTATTGTCAAGAGGAAAATGAGAAACAAGAGACCAAAAAATGCAGATGAGCTGAAGGCCACTGTCAAAGAAACCTGGGCTTCCATACCACCTCAGCAGTGCCACAAACTGATCACCTCCATGCCACGCCGAATTGAGGCAGTAATTAAAGCAAAAGGAGCCCCTACCAAGTATTGAGTACATGTACAGTAAATGAACATACTTTCCAGAAGGCCAACAATTCACTAAAAATGTTTTTTTTTATTGGTCTTATGAAGTATTCTAATTTGTTGAGATAGTGAATTGGTGGGTTTTTGTTAAATGTGAGCCAAAATCATCACAATTAAAAGAACCAAAGACTTAAACTACTTCAGTCTGTGTGCACTGAATTTATTTAATACACGAGTTTCACAATTTGAGTTGAATTACTGAAATAAATGAACTTTTCCACGACATTCTAATTTATTGAGATGCACCTGTGAACAGTGCTTTAAGTTTTTTAAGGTCTATGGTCTATCTAAGAGACGTTTAAGAAAAGAAATACTACAGAAACTACAGAAAGTATTTAAATGTAAAATAAAACACTGCATAGCCTTCACTGTATTACGCTCACATTGATTCTTATTAAAGCTACAAAGTTATTCAGTCAAGATCAGTTTGGTTTTTGATTGGTTTCGATTAACAATAAGGACACAGACAGCGGCAGGTTTATTAGGCTGCTGTCACTTTAAGACCTAATGCACGGATCCAATGTAATGACGCACATCCGATTTTCTCCCAACTGTTTACATGCATACTCGCCAAGACAAGCATTCTAACATATTTTTGTTTGTATTTGACCATTTAGCTGCAACCAGATTTTACTGCAAATTTGTATGATGTGATTTGTTGGAAAACAAACAAAAAAAAGTTATCATGAACCTGCAGCCCTAATGTTCTGCTGGATCAACTGACCACCATTAGTGAAAGCTCTTAAAAATCTAACTAACGCATGTCCTTCTCGCTCATGTGACCCAAACAAGCTCCATAATCAGTTCAACAGCACATAAGACTGTCAGATCAGTCTTGATCTGTCTATCGGGTCTCATTCGAAAGGGAGCCTCGAGATGTACACTCGATTCGGCACTCGCGAGGGTTCCTCGAGCTGAAGGGATCCCCCGAATTTGGTGCGGATATTAAATTAATATTCGCCAATACCGATATATCTGTGACAGGCTCATATCAGCCGATAAAATTGCCAAAACGTTATATCGGTCGGGCTCTACTAAGTAGATCGCTGAACCATTATCACCACAGGTCTCTAAGATCCTCTTAGCTCACAATACTTTTGGGAAATGCAGCCCAGGACAGGTTTGTCTAATTTCCGCTCTTTTGCCCCTACTTTTCTGTCTACATTTAATTTTCCTTTAATATAAAGGCAGAAAATAAAATAAAACTATAAAAAAACACAAGAAAGATGAAAGAATATGCATGCGGTGGCTTCCTGCCACAATGCTCGGGTGTTCAGGGTGCTTGAAGACCCAGGTATACTCTGTGTTCCACTCGGTCGAATTCACAAGCCTTTCAAGTGTATTCTAACTAGTGGACCATTTTTTAAGTGCTCAAATCACTCGCAACTGCACTGTTGTCAAATACAAAAATCTGGCTGCACATACTGTAGACTGTGTATGCCATGGATGTCCAGACCCATGGCATGCACATTCCTGGATGGTCAACGTCCTACAGAGTTTAGCTCCAGCTTGTCCCATACCTCACCTGCCTGGATGATTCTAGTAATTCTGGAGACCTTGATTAGCTGCTTCAGGTTCAACAGGGGTTGGAGCTAAACGTGCAGGACAGTGGCCCTCCAGAAGCAGGACTAGACACACCTGGTTTACACAGATATTAGTGTACTGTGCTGATGATGAAAATTATGTCACGCAAGCCGACGCAGAATGCAGACAAGCAGACTTTTATTATTGTTAAAGGGGTCCTATTATCCTTTTTCACTTTTTGAATTTTAGTCAGTGTGTAGTGTGTATGTTTGGGCATAAAAAAGATCTTCAAACTTACAAATCTCAAAGTCCACTCCAAAGGGAGATATTTTGTTTAAAAAAAATCCCTTTTCAAGAACTACAACGAACGGCTCGTTTGGACTACAGCGTTTGTTTTCTGGGTTTTGTGATATCACAAAGCGGCCCATTAGAATATCATTAAAATAATTCCCGCCTACGGAAATTCGAATGGTTGGGGGGTGGGGAGGGGCGAGGCCATGGCAAGTTTTCGCAAGTTATTACACATGCACCTGAAATGAGTTTGCATATATATGCTGCCTGGGAAACACTGGACTATGGTATAAATAAATTCAACTGTATAACAGTTTCACTGCAATTCATGTTATAATGTTAGAATTAAATAATGAATGAATTAATTAATTAATAAATAATACATGTGCACTTATCTGTACATAATGCAGTTATTTTTAAGCGGTTGTTGACTTTAAGCGTGATTTAGCCAAAAAAAAAAAAAAACAACAATAACGTTACCACTCTAATATGTCTTGCAATATCCGTGCGTGCAAAGGTTCTGCGCGATCCTCTTGTTCAATATTCTCTGGGTCTGAATCCGGCTCAGATTGATATGGCAATATTGACGCCATCCTTAACTAAACTTGCTGCTTTGGCAAGGGGCGGGGCAGTACTGAAACACCGTCTAAGCTGTTCGCCAATTACAACCAACGCACTGGGATAGCTAACCAATCACACCACATTTCGTTTTTCGGAAGGCGGGCGTTCATCTAACCCGGAACTAATCGAGCCGTTTGTGCCAGACTGGGGATAAAGGTATTGTAATAATGTAAATTATGTATAAAATTATGCGTTTTTCGAACCACCAAGCATGAGAGCATGTTCTAGTACACACCCAAAACAAATTCAAGACATTGTAAAAGAGCATAATAGGACCCCTTTAAAGTGTTGTAAGCGTTCTTTTCAGTGTGTTGCTGTGTCTTGGGTGGTTATTGGTAGTTACTACTAGTGATCAATCAATATATCATATCAGTTGACCATTACCGATATTTTTAAGATCGTTGGGTATCGTTTTTTTTTTTTTTTTCGATACCGGTGCCAAATCGATACTATTAAAACGATTCCGGTGCCTAAATGGTGCCTGAACCGATACTTATTAAAGAATATAGAAAGAATAGAGAATGCTAGTGTTAGAGGCTCTTTTTCTTTATAAATAAAACAAGTAGTTAGAATAGAAATAGAATAGAGAGTGCAAATGTTAGAGGATCAAGTTTTTGAATAAAAAAAAAACAAGCAGATCAAATATGAAATAGCATTAGAATTGAGAGTGTTAGAGTTAGAGGGTCAAATGAAGATGAAAGAGATGTGTTTTCAGCCATTTCTTGAAAATATTAAGGACTTGGATTGAGCTGGGGAGGTCATTCCACCAGGAGGGAACAGTTAATGTAGTCCATGAAAATGATATGTTGAATGCAAAATGTTTCAATACAAGCATTTCAGTCAAATGCAATTTATGCAATATTTCAAACCTTTAACCCACTTGGGAAAATCAACCCATGGCAACAGTTTAAAAGTAGCTCAATTCTGTGGAAAAAATGCGGACTTGGCAAGCCTGCATCCAACAAGAGCTGCAGGAGTCAGCTTTGACTAATCACAGGTCGAGAATAAGGAGAGATGACTGACAAGACCATGCTGGAGTATTTGCTGCTCAACAGA